TAAGTGAATTATGATAAGACTGACCTCTCATAGACCCCCTAGTCATTAATAATAGACAAAATAATTAAATGATGCTTAAAATTTATGTGATACAAAATTTCATAAAATAAAATACCATGGAAACTTTATTGAAAAGATTTACAAATATTATTTTAAATTTCATTTATTTATAATTTTATTATAATTATTTTAACGATAATAAAAATACATTTATTAATTTATATTTACTAAAAAAATATGTAATTACTAGTAATAAAATAATAATCAAAATTTGCTATAAAAAATTTGAATTACAATTTGAAATTTTTCTTTAAATGACGTAAAAAAACGTTCTTAACGTAATTATACGTTAAATTTTATATTTAATTTTTTGTTATTAGAGTAATAATTTTGCCATTTGTTACGTTTATATTGTAGAAGAGACACTGACATTTGTAATATAAATCAGTTTTCCATGAAATCTCAGTATATTTTCAAAAAAACATATAAACATGTCAAACATGTTTTGAATAATATATATATTTGCCACATATCCTTTAGTGTATTAGAAGATACAACATATAGTATATATCCAATAAAGCTAATATGTATTATTTAATTACTTTAAAAAGTAATATTGTTGAAATACTATTGCTTTATAGAGTAGAAATAAATTAAAAATAATTGTATATATATAAAAATTTACCTTCTAACTTGAAACTTTTAACTGGTTGAAGAGAACTTGAAGAGAACTATTTAAATAACAGTGAACGACTGACCATTAGGTTATCAAGTAAGATACGTTTTCTGTATTGAGAAGTAAGAAGTTATATATGTATGAAGTAATTTGTCCCTACCACATCTTATTGAAATATATACATTAATTGTGTACAGCATTTTCTTTAAGTATTCAATATCTTTCTTTAAGTATTTAACCAGATTAAGTATTCAATATCTTTCTTTAAGTATTTAACCAGATAAAATAATAATCTAGAAAAATTTTAATTGTAAACCATGCAAATTATTCTTTAACATACAATTAAATTAATCTTATTTTCTGTTGAATAATTGTTATATGAATTTATTTTTCATTTAAACAATTAAAATAAAATCTTTGTATTAGTATATTAAGATGAAACGTAATTCAAATTCTTCATATAATATATCAATATGTAATACGTTTATATAAAAGATATAATATGTAATATGTAATATGTTTTATATAAAAGATATATTATATGAAATATTTTATATAGGCAAATTAAAAACTTCCTTAATAACTCTAATTATTAATTCCATTACATGTTACCAATTTTCAATTTTCTCAGGAATGTCAAGAAAATTCTTTTACAAAGATTTCAACGAAAGAAATCTTATTTTTTTGAAGTTGTATAATCCGATACTAACTTTGATATAATGAAACTATATTGTTTTTAGAAGACAATTATGTAAGATTGAATAGTATGATCATTGATTAGCTTAATTGTTTTTAGAAAACGACAAAAGTCTTAGTAATATGATAAGATTTTTATCGCAGTATTATTGAAGGTGTGGCAATCAGTTGATGATTTCATGCGAATACTTTGTTTGTACATATTTTATTTTATCAACAATAAACGAATTTCATTTAACAAAAAAGTAAAACAGTTGTTAACACTAAATAATTTATTGGAAATATTTAAATAATTTTTAAAAAAAGCTTTAAAAATTATTTTGTTATTATCTATATAATCGATTATTTTATATTATATTTAAAAAAAAGTAATGATAAAGATAGTATTCAGCCGAGTTGTTAGACATCAAAATTACGATTTCTACTTTGATTAATTTTGCATGATTTTGTTCCTAATCAAATTCATATATATATATATATATTTTTTTTTTTTAAAGAAATTCTTTTTTTATTGCATTCAAATGTAGTAGTTATCTAGTTTTCTGTTTTATGACAAGTGGCGCTAGTATCGCAAGTGTTAATTGCCTACAGAATTGCACATCTATGTTTCATTGAATCATATAATCAGCTGAATACTACATTGCACGAAAATTGCATCTTGTGAGTCTTTGCATAGTTTTTTACGTCTTTCGTTTGTAAAAAAAAAAATGATTTTTTTCAAAGAAAATAGCAATGTTCTAGTGATTTTAGATAGTGAAATTTCAAGTAATGACATTACAGATTTTGCGAGTGAAATTAAAGAACATCTTAATAATGCTGAACAATTAACAACTATATCAACCAAAGAACTGAATAAATGTAGGTATTCTTAAGTACTGTCATATGTATGAAATAAATAAGTGAACATATATATATCTATCTATTTTAAATATTTTTCAAAAAACACTTTAAACACTTTAAAAAGATACTTTTTATTTTTATCAATTTCATATATGGAAAAACATTTTATCATTATATGTATTAAATTCCTTCTCAGGTATTAATTCTTCTTCCTATGATGCAATTATTTCTATTTTTAAACAATTGTGTCCGAATCTTGAAATACTTCTAGAAGAATCTCTCCGAATGTTGAAACCAGGGGGAATATTAATTATTTATGAGTCATTCCAAGAAAAGGAAAATGCACAGTCTCTTCATGATAAAAGGGTGTCTAATTTGAAATTGACTGGTTTCAAAGTGAAAGAGCAAGAAAGTTTTGATACAAAACAGTTGAAAGATCTTCTACTTAATACATACAATAATATAGATAATATTTGTGAAGTAGTAGCAGAAAAACCTTCCTTTGAAGTGAGTGATACTTATTTGAGTTTTAAAAATTAACTTTGATGAAGCATGTTTTTCACTCTTATCTGTTATACAACTTTTATAGATTGGTTCTAGTGTAACACTTAATTTGGGTGAAAAGAAATCTTCTAATGTATGGAAACTAGACACTTCTGTTGATGAAGAATTGATCAACGAGGATGATCTTTTAGATGAAAGTGATATTATCAAGCCTGTAACCAACTTAAGAGGTAAATTGAATACCTTTGTTCTTGTATAAATTAAAAAAATGATTCTATCATTCATTAATAATTAAATTGCAGAAAGTTTCAATTTTATTTGCAATGAATTTTTTGAAGAATATTGAGATATTTAGCAAGAATTATTTTATTTTCATAATGTTTTGCAATTTTAGTATGTAGCACAACGGGTAAACGAAAAGCTTGCAAAGATTGTACTTGTGGTTTAGCTGAAGAACTAAGTGGGAAAATTGCACTTGAAGAAACTGCAAAGTCTTCATGTGGAAACGTATGTAATTTATACATTTTTATGTTATTTTTAAAAAGTTCAAATAAAAGATAATATACATGTATTTTTCAGTGTTATCTTGGGGATGCATTTCGATGTGCTAGTTGTCCCTATCTTGGTATGCCTGCATTTAAACCTGGTGAAAAAGTAGTTTTACCTGAAAGTCAGTTAAAAGCAGACTAATGAAATATTTGTGAGTTATATAAATTTTCTATTTTTATGTTAATATTTTGCATGTAATTATTCTAATAATAATTCTTAATATTGTTATTCATTATTTTTCACCTTAATATTTCTATTTAATATGCAGGTCTTTTTTTATTTTATTCATTTTTCCTAAATCTGCGAAAATACTATTGCATATATACAGAAATTTAACAGGATGTAGTATAAAAATTATACAATAAAAATATAAAACAAATACTAGTCTTAATTATTTTTATTACATTTTTATTTGTATACAATAGCGATCAACATGTTAATTATAGAATGATACAAAATATTATAAATGTCTATGAAGTAAATACAATTATAAAAATAATAAAATAATTTAAGTACCTTCGTAATATTACGATACAAAAACAATCGTCGAAGTATACTTTCGTATTGCTGAAAAACAAAACAATAAAGATTATACTTGTGGCTTTTATATAATTCGGCCATATATAAATTATTTATACATAATTTATAAGGGAATATAAGCCTTTCACTATAAATCCACTAACCCTCCTCTGGGGTTGAGTGCTCGAGAGAGGACTACATTCCAAATATGGTATTTGTATCATTCTATTTGAACATATATTGAATTCTAACAAATAATTCAAATATTTTGTATAAAATTGTCGACTAAATTTTTCGAAAAATGGATCACGCCATTGTAAAAGACGATGGTCATTAAATTATATTATTAATGTCGTATACAGGAACAAAATAAATCGTCATGTTCTTAATTTGCCTCTACAACAGGAACATCATTCCGCGGCGTAAAAAATAGAAGTATTCACATATCGGAAACAAAAAAATAACGAATGTTGTTTGAATTATTAACCTGTTTATACTATAATAATAAATGGTATTTTGTGTTTATAAATAAGTTTAAAACAGGATATACATAGCTGCATAACACTTTTACACCATAAAAACTACTACCATGCTACAATCGTTTTCCTGTTTTACCTACTTATTTAATATAGCTTCATTTGGTGCAAAAAAAAAAAA